TGTAGTTATATTCTCTTTTTCATTTTGACAGAACCAAAATGGGGGAGGGAACCCTAGAAACTTTGGAACATTTCTGTTTCAAAATTACTTGAAACCCAATTGATACCAGTGTCTCCGTTAGCCTTTTCTCTTCTCAAGGAGCATGGATCGCTTTGTCTTCTCCCTCTCTCCTTTCTCTGGAGAGGTATTTTCTTTACTTCTGGCATTATACCAGCAAAACAATACAGAAAACATTACTTTTGGTGTTTTCAGTCGCTAGTTGAATTTCTACAATGGGCTAAGGTGGCATTGTAAAAGAGATAACTTCATTCTTGAGTTTTTCATGCCTGCAAAAGAATAAATTAGCATTTCTTCTATGTCTGCTTTGATCTGCCACTTTTAAATGATTTGGATTAGTTGTGTTTTCTGCTGTCCAAGTCACTCTTTCAGGAAACACTGATGAGGCAGATGCTGTATGCCAGATATTATGTTTTAATGAGGAATTCATTTTAATATGATCCAGTAGAACCCAAAGTCATAATATTTTTTCACATGCATGAAATCTTAAAATTGAAAATAAAAGAATTTCTACCACAGTGTGCTACTAACTGATTTTGAGGAATGCTCATTTGCTTTAATTAAAACCAAGTAAAAATCAGTTTTTCTTTAGAAATGAGGTTGGTATTTGGCACAATGGCTAGGATGTCAGTTGGGATACCTGCATTCCATACTGGGGTTTTTGGGTTCAATTTCCAGCTCTGCTGTTGATCCTAGCTTCCTACCAATGTGTATCCTAGATGGCAGCAGGTCTCAGATCCTCCCATCTTCAGCGTGTGTACCATCTCCAAGTCTGCATTTCTCAACCTGGGCCTCATACTGCCTTTTTATAAAGAGTGGAAACAGAAATGATGACTGGGTTATGTTAAAGAGTGAGATGAGGTTAGTGTGCATGTAAGGTTAGCCTGCAAGACCCTAACTCCCTCCAAATTCTTCTTTAAGTTCCTCCACACAAAGAAGCCTCAAGCAGGCCATGGAAAGTGTTCTGTCTCCTCACAGAAATGATTCAGAGCAACCCACAATAAGGGAGGGAGGTCCCTGCCACCCACCTGGGAGACCTGGATTGTGTTCCTGGTTCCTGCTTCGCATATCCCAGGCTGTAAGGCAGTGGATGGGCAATCTCTGTCTATCTCCCTCTCTACCTTTCAAATGAATAAAAAATTTTAAATGTAAATAATTATATGTTTATCTCAATAACTGGCTTTAAAAAAATAGGATAAAGATGGCTTTAAAACTCCTGAAATTTCTCTAGGTTGCAGCTGGAGAATAGTTATCAGCATAATTTTTTTAAAGATTTTATTTATCAGCATAATTTTTTTAAAGATTTTTATTTATTTATTTGACAGGCAGAGTTACAGTGAGAGAGAGAATGACAGAGAGAAAGGTCTTCCTTCCACTGGTTCACTCCCCAAGTGGCCGCAACTGCTGGAGCTGTGCCGATCCGAAGCCAGGAACCAGGTGCCTCCCTCTGGTCTCCCATGTAGGTGCAGGGGCCCAAGCACTTGGGCTATACTCCACTGCTTTCCCAGGCCACAGCAGAGAGCTGGAGTGGAAGAGGAGCAACTGGGATGCTGGTGCTGCAGGCGGAGGATTAACCTAGTGTGCCATGGCGTGTGCCCCTTTCAGCATAATTTTTAAATGAACCACACTGAAACTCTGTGAAGTAACGAATGAAATTAAATAATAATTTGTTAGGGCTGGCACCGTGGCTCACTTGTTAATCCTCTGCCTGTGGCACCGGCATCCCATATGGGCTCCGGGTTCTAGTCCTGGTTGCTCCTCTTCCAGTCCAGATCTCTGCTGTGGCCTGGGAAAGTAGTGGAGGATGGCCCAAGTGCTTGGGCCCCTGCACCCCCATGGGAGACCAGAAGGAAGCACCTGGCTCCTGGCTTTGGATTGGCACAGCGCCAGCCATGGTGGCCATTTGGGGAGTGAACCAATGGAAGGAAGACCTTTTTCTCTCTCACTGTCTATAACTCTACCTGTTAAATAAGTAAAAAAAAAAAAAAAAGAAAGAAAGAAAAAGAAAAAATAATAATAATAATGAGTTAGTGCTAAAATTTCATTATAAAATCCAATAATTATTTTTGGAATATCTATCATAAATATGTTCATTATTGCTATTTACTTTTCATGTTGATATAATCAAATTATATTTACTTACCGTTTATATATTTTCCAAAAGGAGTCTATATTCTCTATATTATTTTTGTACACATATGAATTATAAAACATTTGAGGCTAAGTATGCTTAAAGAGTCACAAATAAAAATGTAATAAAATGATTGAAATAAAATAAATTTATTCAAATGTTATTTGAAGATAGCAATTTTATGTGTTTTCATGCAATGAGAAGGGAAACTGAATTGACAGCTCTGCCATTAGACTGAAAATTACAAGGAGAATCACTGATCTACTCATTGAGTAAATATGGTTGAGAGAATGTTTATTTTCCAAGTATTCTATACGGAAACTTGGTAGAATCCATATATCTGTTAAGAAAATGTTAATTTGAAGAATCTTGATATTGTTATTTAGTCAATGAGAAGTCATAAAACTGCTAATGTTTATTAAGTCATTTGAGAATAGTTACAGTATATATAATTATATTTGCAGCACATATGACAGATATAGCATTACTGTCCAGAACACATAAAATACTCTCAATTCCTAAAAGATAAGTAGGCTAATAATAAATTGGGAATTCACTTAAAAGAGATAGGAAATTTTGTTTTATTTATTATTCTATTTTTAAAATAAAGCTAATACTCTGGTTTTACTTCAGATCGTATAAATCTTTTGCCTTTTAAAATAAAGCTGAGCCTCACTAGTAATAAGGAAAATGAATACTAAAATATGATTTCTTTTTGGCCTGTGATGTAGACAAAATTTTAAAAGACTTATTTTGGGCTACGCGTTGTGATACAACAGGTCAACCCTGAGCTGTTTGTTGGGACATCTGCATCCCTTATCAGACTGTCATTTCCAGTTTCAGCCTCTCCACTTCCAACCCAGCTTCCTGTTAGTGCATCCTGGGAGTCAGCAGATGATGGCTCAACTGCTGAGCCCCACCACCCATGTGGAAGACCTAGTTTAGTTCTGGGCTTCTGGCTTCAGCCTGTCCCTTCCCTGACTGTTGGAGGCATTTTGGGTGTGAACCAGCAGATAGAAAATTGCTAGCTCTGTGGCTCTGTTTCCTTGTTACTCTTTTTCTGTCACTCTGCCTTACAAGTGGATAAAAATAAGTAAATATTTTTTAAAAAGGCTTATGTTATACTTGTAGGAAATTGGTTGGACTCAGAAAACTGGCAGGATCAAACCGTTTTGGACTTTAACATTTCGTTTTATAGATGTTAGCAGAATTATTTACTGTAAGCAGTTATCCAAGTATAACTTATTTAATTTAAAAAAATGGAGCTTCTATGGATTTTGAAGTTTGTCTTGGGAAAAGCAAGCTGTGAATGGCAAAAATAGTTTCATTTTCTTTCAAATTCTTTATTATTATAAATAATGCCATGATGTAAAAGTCTTATAAGTAAGAGCTTCTTACAAGTAAAAATAAACTTTTATTTTGTGTTTTTGATTATTTCCAAATGTAAGAAAAATCTTTCCCTCGATTATCTCTCCTTTAAAATTTTTTTTAATTTATTTACATAAAGGGAACAGATTTCATGTATTTCATGTATACAGTTTTAAGAACATAAAAAAGATGTCTTTGAATGCGTATGTAGCTAATGAAGTAGTCATTCTGGTCAAAAAGATTACCAGCTTATACTGACTGCTTTTATAGAAAGGTCATCTTGTTTTGCTGTTGTCAGTTCTGACACCTAGAGTCATGGGTTAACAAATGCATTCCTCTGAAGCAGCAGCACACTGGAATGCTGGTGAAGGGTCATTTGTACAGAAATACCAATGGGCACAAATTACATTTCCATTTACTTTGATTAGCTCCTCTGATGGAGCATTTTGATCTAAGCAGGAGGCATCAATTTGGAGCACTTTTGAAGATAGGCGGGAGGCCTAGAGAGAAATGCATAAAGGTGTGACGGGTTCACTTCTAAAAGCGAGCTGGCCTGGGTCCTTCCACTGCCCTCAGAGGAACCCCTGAAGGGGTTCGGTGAGAAAGTGAATCCCAGTGATTGTTTATAGCTCTTGCCCCTATTCCCAGGGAGCTTTTTTGACTCATTAAAATTATTATTTGGTGAAGCCTTAAGCCCTTTGTAGTATAAAGCAAATTTATTAGCTCAAAAAGTTAAAAAGAAAAAGAGAGACAGAGGGAGGGAGGAAGAGAATACCATTATATTCTTAGAGTTGTATCTATTAACTATATTGCATTTGTTAAAAACTTCTTAAAATTTTTTAAAAAGTGAAAAAAGAAAGTGAACACTGACTAGCCTCTCATGTACAAACAAATTTGTAGAACTGGCCATTTGTAAGTCAAAGATCATCTGTGCCTGCCTGCCCCATACTGGGGATCAGATATGTTAAAAGGAAACATTTTAAGATGTCAATTCAAGGGTGAGAAGAGGTCTGGAAATCATATTATGTTGCAAAAAGAGAGCTATTAAGTGGGGCACAGTGACTTTAAAAATGTCAAAGCTGGAGCCAGTGCTATGGCATAGCAGATAAAGCCACCACCTGCAGCGCCGGCCTCCCATATGGGTGCCGGTTCAAGTCCACTTCTGATCCAGCTCTCTGCTATGGCCTGGGGAAGCAGTAGAAGATGACCCAAGTGCCTGGGCCCCTGAACTCATGTGCAAGATCTGGAAGAAGCTCCTGGCTCCTGGCTCCTGGCTTTGGATGGGCACAGCTCCAGCCATTGCAGCCAATTGGGGAGGGAACCAGTGGATGGAAGACCTCTCTGCCTCTCCTTCTCTCTGTGTAACTCTGACTTTCAAATAAATAAATAAATCTTTTTAAATGAGATTTATCTATAAAAAAAAGTCAAAGCCATCATTCACATTTTCTGTTTATTGCGTGCTATAGCCTGGATATCACGGGTAGAAGCCACAAAGAGACACATTTCAGAGCAGCAGAAGGATGAGTTTTTCACGTTCTTAGAGCAGTCCAGTCATGAAGTGGGCTGCTTCCCAAAGCTCTGAGCCCTTCTGGTGACACTCATTGGCTCCCATAGGAAGGAGCCTGGTTGTATCAGGTAGTCATAAAGCTCTCATTCCAGCTTTTGAAGGTGATGACATTTCATTCCAGGACTAAGGCCTGAAATCAGGTGCCTCTTTATAAAGCTGAGGAGAAGCACAAATACCTAAACAAAGTCAGACTTCCCCTTGGTGTGATGGAGATAGGTCAAAAACTCCAAAAGACTACAGTACAGAGGAAGGCCAAATGGAAAGCAAAACAGACAGACAATTCAATAGCTAAGGAAATGGTCTTTTTCTCCAGCCTATTTTAGCGTTTATAGCCCTTGTCCCAGTGGAATATTTATGAGCGTATCTCCATGGATAAAAGGAATTTAAAGATTGTTTACGGTTCATGGATAAAAGGAATTTAAAGATAATTTTTGCTGCAAAATTTTTTTTGAAATCCATACATAGCTACACACACACACACACATACACACACAGAGTACATGTTTTCTATGTGTTTTTGAAGAGTCCTCATATAATAACATCTAAGGAAAGACATTTTTCCCAGTGCTGCCTGGGCCCTGTGCTATCCAGAGGAAGCAATTAGAGTCACTAGACATATGAGTTGTACTTTTAGGAATCTGAGAAGACTATGTGCTGTGGACACATTTCATTTATGAAGAGCTAACTAAGCAGTTTCCAGTGTTTAAAGCAGTAAGTTTCTCTAGGAATGTCATGAACTGGAGAATACTGTTTTGATCTGCACTCTATAGTTGGAAGGAAAATAGAAATAGGACCCACACAGGACACACTTGAAAAGTGTTGTTTTGCCTTGTGGGAACCAGGGCTCAAATGTACCCAAGAGGCATGGCTGAAGGTAGCCACCAGTCTCCTTTCTCCACCCTCTTTCTACATAATGCTTGCCTGTCCTCTAAATAAGTGAAACAATTATTTAAAGAATGTTGGTTTGAAGGGAAGCCAAGTTATGAACCTACTTCAATACTTTATGTCTCTGTCTTGACCCCATTGTTGCCATAAACTTCATATAACCTATTACATATTTTTTCTTCCCTATTTATTTCCATAGTTTCCATGGAAAACATTGGCGAACAAGGTAAAATATGTTTTTGTTATAGAAATAAAATTTTTAAGTGGTTTGAAGAAAGCCACATTGTATCCATTTAGATTGGTTTTGATTAATGAATTATTCTCTTGAGTTTGTAGAGACAAAGTAGGGCTAAAAGCATCTAATTTCTCTAAGTCTCAAGACTGAATTCTTTCAGACAGTTGGCAACAGTTTCTACCTTGAAATGGCTGGAATTGTGCCCAAGATTTCTGTGGTTTTCAGGTACAGAGTTATTAATAGTTTTCTACTTAACTCGGATTACCCCACAACCAATTCACCCACATAATTCATGAAAAATAGCATTGTTGTAGTCATCTCACACTTACTTAATGTTCTTATTGAGATAACTAAAAAATTTAATTGTTCTAAATATGAGTATCATATTTTTAGAATTGAAAATTGATGTTAAAATTTTAAAATTCCGGCCAGCGCCGTGGCTCAATAGGCTAATCCTCTGCCTGTGGCGCCGGCACACCGGGTTCTAGTCCTGGTCTGGGCGCCGGATTCTGTCCCGGTTGCCCCTCTTCCAGGACAGCTCTCTGCTGTGGCCTGGGAGTGCAGTGGAGGATGGCCCAAGTTCCTGGGCCCTGCACCCACATGGGAGACCAGGAGAAGCACCTGGCTCCTGGCTTCAGATCAGCACGGTGCGCCGGCCGCAGCGCGCCGGCCACAGCAGCCATTGGAGGGTGAACCAATGGCAAAAAGAAAGACCTTTCTCTCTGTCTCTCTCTCTCACTGTCCACTCTGCCTGTCAAAAAAAAATTTTTTTAAATGCCAAAATGCTATATTTTATTCTGTATCTTACAGAATTAGTTGTATATTAATGCGCTGTTCCAAATGAATCAGTATCACTGTATAAAAGTATTTTAAATATGTATAGGATTTTAAAACTTTGTTTTAAACACCACACAAAGTGTATTTATATGCATTATCTGGAAAAAGGATTATTTGTCACTGTTGTTCCATGCAATAAATAAGACAGTTGCATTCTGATAGAGGAAATCACTCTTTTTCATGTGATCTCTGTTTAAATATGTTGTCATTATGACGGCCAGCAGCTTTGAGTATAGCTAACCAAGTTAGCACACAGTTCTCAAACAGGAACTGCTTTTGCTTTCCATGTCAGTAAAACAGAGTTCTTAAAGCCTGAATGTTTTACCATTTGATTGATGTTGTGTTTACTCTGTTAAGTTGCCTTCATGACTGCTTTATTTTTACAGCTCAGGAAAGTCCTTCCCAGCCATTTTGCCAATAGATGGGCATGTATGTATAGGTGGAAGGGTTTTATTAGTGGTATTAGACACAATATTTCAGCTAGGGCTATTTTATAAAAAAAAAAAAAACTGTCAGCTTTAGGCATATATTCAGTGAGTTGTGCTTATTCTGATAGGATATAAATTAACTTTCATAATTTGTTATTTTGGTGATTTGGTTATTTTAGGACAATAACTTTACTTGTGAGTGCTATGATTTCAGTTGGTATTTGCATATTGCAATGATAATTATGTTTCTCTCCTTCTAGTTGTGTGCTTGTTGGCTTATCATCTACTTTTCGCGATGTTTGTCTGGTCATACTGGAAAACTATCTTTACATTACCAATGAATCCTTCAAAAGAAGTAAGTTGAAATAGTCACAGTTATCTTAAAGATAGAAATCAATAATACTGATACTGATAACTTATGAATTAATTGTATTCTTTTCATTAATGTTGCAAACTTTTGAGTATAGTGACTGTTTAAAAAATAATGTCTGTTAAATACTTACTTTCATTTGCTAGCTACTGTTTTTGCATCAGATGAGTATTATATTTGCAATATTAAATCTGTCATGCATTCCATTTCTACAAGAGTCAGACATTAGGGTGGATGAATATATGTATGTATGTATGGATGGATAAAAAAGAGTTAGAAGGCAGATACAATTCCACTGTAATATTAAAGGTGTATTAGTTGGCAGTCTGCCATCAGAAACAACACAATAATGGTTTAATTAATTCCTGCATTCAATACGTGTATAGCTTACCCATTGCTTCCAGGAATCTAGACTCCTATTTTGTTGCTCTGTAAGTGTAGCCTTCATTCCCAAGGATACTTATAGTTCCAGCCATCGTATCTACATTCTAGACACAAAGTCAGAGAAAATTAGGAAGATGAGGAGAAATGAATGCCATTTCCTTTACAGAGACTTTCTAAAATTGCTGACATTATTTCCACTAACATTTGGAACTTTTTTCATGGCCACATTGACTCACATGGAAGGTCTATTCTTGATGGCCATGTTAGCCACTGTAGAAAGGAATAGTGGTTATCTGGGAGCAACCAGGCATCTCTGCTACAGAGATGTTACACAGAGTGATAGAATTACACTGCATTTGAAAAAAATATTGTAAATAGAATGATATGGATAAATGTGTCTTACTCACTTTTGTATGCATTGCACTTTTTCAGTATTTTTGTTGAATTGAAATGAAACTTTGGTACAAATAGATATAGTTTTAATAGGCCAAGTTTAAAAAAAGAACCACTGTAGATTGGCATCATTGTAAATTGTTTCTTGAAATATAGCTGTGGTCATAAAGGCAAATAAATATGCTATTTGACCTGAGAAAGGATATTAAAAAGAAAACCAAAGATATTTGCACAGAATTAATGGTATGTCTGGCCTGGAATGCTTTATATATTGCTGTTTCCAGACTACTTTTTCTTCTCTCCTTTTTCCTCTCTCTCAGCTTATTCTCTTCTTTTCCATCGTCTTGCTTACCCCCATAATGGCCTTAGTTTCGGTTTAAGGAAACATGCTGACTTCACATTCTTCATGTCTCTGTTCAGGTGGTAACTTACCATAGAGGTTTCTAGGACACTATCTGTAAAACAGCAAACCCTCTGCTCTTGGCTTTCCCCATACCTTACCTTGCTGTTTTGTTTACATAGCATTTACCATCCTGTAAAACACTACACATTCATTTGTTCATTAGTTTTTTAAGTACTATCACTAGAATGTACTTTCTGTAAGAGCAGGACTTTATCTGCTTTGTTCATTACTTTATCAGAAAAGTACTCAATAAGTTGTTAAATGGTTGAAGGGAACTAGGAAAGAATCTATAGAAACCTGGTGGAGATGGAAGTTTATGTTTGTAGCTTTGATGAGAAGTTGAGGTGACTTCTGATTTCTTCCTAAAGATGATATAAAAGGCCATCAGCTGTGAATGAAAAGGGAGGTGAGTTGAACGGGACTGAGGAAAATAGAGGTTTGAACTAGTGGTTTTATGAAGTGGAAAAATAAAATATAGAAGTAGAAGAAATAGCATGGTAATGAAGCAGCAGTCAAAACTGAGGACAGTGAATGTATAATTATACTGCCCTTATTTGTTGGTTAAGAATCTTAGGTTATTCTATTAACAAAAAGCAAAAATTTTATAAATAAAGTGAGCTACTTCTTTAATCATCTAGTAGCAAGAGACCCCTGACTTGTAAGATGAGTTTCTAGGACTTAAATTGACAGTAAAGTACTCTCAGGTTCTAAAAATTTTTGAAAAGTGGGGCTGAAAGGTAGGAAAGATACTGCAATAAATAGATGAATATTTTCTTATCACTTTTGAGGGAAGATGAAAAATCTGGAACATATGAATATGTTTACCTTTTTCATGGGAGAATTGTTAAGTTGATAGTAGCTTTTCAATTCACAAGATGTTTCTCTCAATATAAAAGTAATTTAATGGCACCAAACTGTATTTTTAAATAGGTACTAGGCAAAAAGAAAAAAATTATGTCACACTGATTCAACCACTGCACAGTTTGTATTTCTTTCTAGTTATTTTTGTAGTCAAATTCTTTCTGTTCCATGTTTTTCACAAAATAGTGCATCATTGGTATATTGATATTTTTAACAGATTGCTATTTTTAATAACAGCATAATATTCTCACTGAAACATGCAAAACTTTAATCACATCCTAACTTGGATTTTCAGACTAATCTAAATAGTTTATACATAGAACTTTAAACATATTTTGGGTTATATCCTTAATACAAATTCTCAGAAGTAGAATTACTAGATCAGTGAAATTTAAGTCACTTGCTGAGTTGGTTCCCAAAAGGACTGTAGCAATTATGATTCTACCAGTTTTATCAGACCCTTGGCATTCTGTGTTGTTATGAAGAAAATGCTCAGAGGCAATTTAATAGGCAAAAATACTTTTATGTTTTAATTGCGATATTTTGGATGGAAGTAAAATTTTGGTTATTTTTGTTTTAGGTGAAAAGCAACTTGCAAAAAAGGAGATACAGTTCTGTATTTAGCACAAAAACAATATTTGAGCCCAGATCTTGGTTTCTTTTTTTTTTTTTTTTTTTGAGATTTATTTATTTATTTGAAAGGCACAGTTACAGAGAGGCAGAGTCAGAGGCAGGGAGAAAGAGATCTTCCATTTGCTGGTTCATTCCCCATATCTGGAGCTGGGCTGATCTGAAGCCAGGAGCCAGGAGCTTCTTGTGGGTCTCCCACATGGGTGCAGGGGCCCAAGCACTTGGGCCATCTTCCACTGCTTTCCCAGGCCATAGCAGAGAGTCAGGTCGGAAGTGGAGCAGCCCAGTTTCCAACCAGTGCCCATATGGGATGCCTGCACTGCAGGTGGTGGCTTTACCCCCCAGATCTTGGTTTCTAATCACATTCTCCAATAAAAGGAAGGCTTCTTGGAGATATGACTGGTTCTAGGACTATGGCAAGAAATACTGAAGATGAGCCTGGAGCATCTTACAGTGCCAGAAAGTGCTCAGAAAACATTGATGGGTGTATATCAAAGGGATACAGGAGCCAACTGAAGGAGTTTTCCATAACTAAAGCAGGAATGATTTTAGCAACAAAACAAGGAAAACAGGGATAGTTTATAATCTGTAGTTTTAAATACACAGTGGCTAGCACTGTGGCAGAGCAGGTAAAGCGGCCACCTGCAGTGCTGGCATCCCATATAGGTGCTGGTTCAAGTCCTGGCTGCTCCACTTCCGATCCAGCTCTCTGCTATGGCCTGGGAAAGCAGTAGAAGATGGGCCACATCCTTGGGTCCCTGCACCTGTGTGGAAGACCTGGAGGAAGCTCCTGGCTCTTGGCTTCAGATCTTCCAAGCTCTGGTCACTGTAGCCATTTGGGAGTGAACCAGCAGATGGAAGACCTCTCTCTCTGTCTCCCTGCCTCTCTCTCTCTCTCTTCCTTCCTCTCTCTCTCTCTGCCTCTGTTCCTCTGTAACTCTACCTTTCAAATAAATAAATAAGTCTTTAAAAAAATAAAATAAATATACATGAGTTGATTGATATATGTAAATGATAGAGTGAATAATGAAAAGAGAAAAATCTCTTCAAGAAGAATTCCAAATAATTTATTATTATCACACTTTCAAGGAAGGGGGCAGGGAGACATGAATCACCCATTCACGTGGGTGGCAGGAACCCAGTTACTTGAGCCATCACAGCCTGTACTTGTAGAAAGTTGAAGTCAGGAACTGAAGCCAGGCACCCAGCTCAGGCACCCTGATGTGGGACGTTTGCATTTTAACCACTAGGTAAATGCCCACTCTATTTATACATTTATTAACAGAAACGTTAAACATATTAGGGAGTTTTCCAGTTCTAGCATTCCATAGAACTTTATCTCAGTGACAAGGATTCAGAACTTAGTTTAGAAAGGATAAAAAGACAATGTTCGGGGTTGGCATTGTGACACAGTGGGTTAAGTGCTGCCTGCAGTGTGGTCATCCCTTATGGGCACCAGTTTGAGTCCCGGCTGCCTCACTTCTGATTCAGCTCCCGGTAATGTGCCTCAGAAAGCAACAGAGGATGGCTAAGTCCTTGGGCCCCTGCACCTATGTAGGTGACACGGATGGAGCTCCTGGCTCCTCACTTGGCTTGGCCCAACTCCAGCTGTTGTGGCCATTTGAGGGAATAAGCTAGCAGATGGAAGATCTCTCTCTCTTCCTCCTCTCTCACTAACCCTGCCTTTCAAATAAATAAATAAATCTTTTTTTTAATGTTAATACTTTTAACCCACATAACTGTTGGTTTTTTACTAGATTAACTTACAATGCCAAGTTTTTAATTAATTTTAGAAATGGGAGTCACAGCTCTGCAAATGGAAGGTGGACTAGGTTATAAAATAACTTTGTCTTTGCTATGCTGTGACCTGACCTAGTCTTACTAGTATCTTCTCATTTGTCCGTTTTGCATGCTGTTGATGTGCCAGGGCTTGACCCCTTCCCTTGTAGAGTTAAATGCTTACAGGACAGAAAGGTAAACAGCAGATGGGCCAAAAAAATAATTTCAGGTTGTGATAGGTAGCACAGAGAAAGCACAGGTGGGCCTGATGCACAGTGTCATGGGGGGAAAGGACAGAATTGTCAGGGTTTCCCCCCCAGAAAAAAAAGTCACGGCTGTCCTTTGAGAAAATGACGCTCAGGCAGAAAGCTGCAAGGTGTGGAGAAGCCAGCTGTGGAAAGGATGTGAAGAATGGCATATCAGGCAGAGAAATCAGCTTGTGGAAGGTTGATAGGTACTTCCTTGGGAGCCGTGTATTGACTATTACAACATCATTGACTGTTCATCTTTTTATATTGAATAAATGTTCCAAACAGCATACACAGTTCTATTACAATCATCAGTGCTCGTCTGTGTCAGTGTTTTTCTCTTCCTTCAAAACATCTCGGAGCACCTTTTAAATTTTAAACCAGTGTCATCTTACATGGTATCCAAACTAGAATTTGTTAAGCATTTATTTATTTGAAAGGTAGAGAGAGAGAGAGAGAGCGAGCGAGCGCGCGCGCGCGAGAGAAGATTAATGAGATATTTACTCCCCAAATGGCTGAAACAGCTGGCGGTGGGCCAGGCTGAAGCCAGGAGCCAGGAACTCCAACCTGGTCTCCCACATGGGTGGCAAGAATTCCAGTACTTGAGCCATGGCACATCTCAAATGTATAAGCAGGAAGCTGGGTGGAAGCACAGTATCCAGGACAGGAACAGGCATTCTGATATGGAATGCAGGTGTCCAAGCGGCAGCTGAACTGCTGCACCACAGTGCCTGCCACTGACCTAGAATTTTATGTATGAAAGAAAATCTGGTAAACTGGTATGGTTGCATTTGGTAGATCAGTGGATAATTTGAATTTTATTTGTTTTTTGTTTATTTTAGGTTTATTTATTTATTTGAAGGGCAGAATTACACAGAGGGAGGCACACACACATGCGCACACACACATACACAAACACACGCACACAGATCTTACATCACTGGTTCACTCACCAAATGGCTGCAACAGCTAGAGCCAGGCCAGGCCAAAGCCAAGAGCCTGGAACTCCATCCAGGTCTTCCACATGGGTGGCAGGGGCCTACTACTACTACTACTACTACTACTACTACTGTCCCAGGCACCATAGCAGGGAGCTATATCAGAAGTGGAGCATCTGGGACTCTATCTGGCACTCACATGAAATGCTGGTGTCGTAGGTGATAGCTTAACCCATCGCACCACAATACCAGTCCTCTGAATTTTTCTTTCTGAGTTCTTGAACTCTGTTGTTAATATCTGAAGGGGTGATAACATTTTCATTCCAACAGCTTTCCATTAAAGTTTTTATTTTTCAGAGTAACTTTGAAACCAGTGGAATGAATGCTACATCTTCATTATCCAGTTGGAAGTTTGCTATCTGTTGGACACATGTTCCCAAGCATATTTTTAATTCCAAGCTTTTAGATCTCCTGCTACTCCCACTCAGCCTCTAGTAACAGGCTTGAAGGCCCTTTTCTGGGCTTCCACATTCAGCACTGCTCATGCCCATGCCCATCAACATTTATATATTCTAGCCATCAGAAAAATTATGCAAATATATTTAGACTTTCAACTGAAGATTTAAGGTAATAAGCTAGTAAAGAGCAACTTATAGAATGTATCGGCCTTCATAAATATGACTTTCATGTATTTTTTATTTATGTTCATTTTGAAAAAGGACTGGTTAATGTGATTTGAATCCCTTTGCTGTGAACTTGTAACAGGAAGACTAATTAATCCACAGAATACTTTTCTAGATATCTGTAACACACTATACCTATAAATTTAATGCTAGTAAATTTGCTATACTAATTTATGATATATATGTCATGTAAATTATCTTTTGTTAAAAGAAAATTGTACATTTAATGTGTAAATACTTTATTTTTTCTCAAAATAAGCTATTAAATCAGATAATTAATAACATTAATATTTGTGAACCATATACTAGAGTTTAAGAGGTATTATAATCTGTTTCCCCAGATGTCTGTATCTTACCATAGAATTGCTAGACATTAGTGATTTTTTAAAAAAAGCTTAGGGAGGGAACTGACATTGTAGCACAGTGGGCTAATCCTCCACGTATATTGCCAGTATCCCATTGATGCTGGTTTGAGCACCGGTTTGAGTCCCAGCTCCCTGCTAATGTGCCTGGGAAAACAGCAGAAGATAGCTCAATGCTTGGGTCCCTGCCACCCACATGGGAGACCAAGATGGAGTTCCTAGCTCCTGGCTTCAGCATATTCCACCTTGGCTATTAGAGCCATTTCGGGAGGAAACCAGCAGATCAAAGATTCTCTCTCTTTCTCTGTAAGTCTGCCTTTCAAATAAATAAACAAGTGATTTTTTTTAAAGAGGGACAGACATTTGGCACAGCAGTTAAAATGCTACTCGAGACACCAACATCCCATATAGGAGAGTCTGGATTCAAGTTCTGGTTCTTTTTCCAATTCCAACTTCTTGCTGATGTGTACCTTGGGAGGTAGCAGGTAATGGCTCAAGTACCTGGTTTGCTACCACCCATATGGGAGACCTGGATTGTGTGCATGTGTGTATTTAAGATTTATTTATTTATTGAAAAGGCAGATTTAGAGAGAGAGAGAGAAGGAGAGACAAAGAAAGAGATCTTCCATCTATTGCCCAGATGGCCACAATGGCCAGTGCTGGGCCAGGCTGAAACCCAGAGCCAGGAGCTTCTTCCAAGCCTCTGTCATGGGTGCAGGGGCCCAAAGACTTGGGCCATCCTCTGCTGCTCTCCCAGACACAGTATCAGGGAGCTGCATTGGAAGTGGAGCAGCTGGGACTCAAGTCAATGCCCATGTGGGATGCCAGCACTGCAGGCAATTGCCCAACTCACTGTGCCATGGCGCCAGCCCCTGGATTGTGTTCTGGCTTCTGGCTTCAGCCTGGACTGGCCCAACCTGGCATTGTGGTTATTAGGGGAGTGAACCAGTGGATTGAATCTCTCCCTCTCTCTGTCTCTCTCTCTGTCTTTGCTTTTAAGATAAAGAAAATAAATAATCAAACAAATGTGGAAATCATGTTACTGCTTTTCAGACAATATGCCAGTAAGATCTAGAATGTGACAAAATGGAAAACTTTTTATTTTGCCCTCTTGGATATGAAATTTTACTGTGCTATTATATGAAGAATTTTATGGTAATTTTAAAATTATTTACATTTGAAGACTGAAGATTTGTTTTTATGTATGAATCAATAGAACTCTCAACCTCTAAACAAATTTTAAACTTTTATTCTCCATCGATTAGGATTTAGATTCAAGTAACATGATTTAATTTGCATCAAAATGTTCTTTTTTCCTTTCATTGAAATATTTGAATCACTTAAAGCTTTTTTAAATGGTAAAATATTTCATACATACAAAAAAGTCAATAGACTACACAATGTAAATAATAATAAAATGAAACTGCCTAGATAATCACCCAGCTAATATGTGACACTATGTATGTTTTCCATATCTCCTCTGTACTTCACTGTTGTATTTCCATGTACTCCTCAAGAAGCACCATCTGGGGGCCAGCTTGATGGTACAGTGGGTGAAGCCACTGCCTGTGATGCTGGCTTCCCATATGAGCACCAGTCCAGTCCTGGATGCTCTGCTTCCTATCCAGCTTCCTGGTAGTGTGCCTGGGAAAGCAGAGGAAGATGGCCCAACTTCTTGGGTCCCTGCCACCCACATGGGAGACCAGTGTGGAGTTCTAGGCTCCTCTCTTAGGTCTTGCACAGACTTGGCTGTTGTGGTAATTTGGGGAGTGAACCAGTGGAAGGAAGTTTTCTTGGTCTCTTCCTCTTTCTCTGTAACTATCTTTCAGATAAATAAAATGAATCTGAAAAAAATAAAATCAACTACTACCCTGCTTTTTATGTTAATTATTCTCTTGTTTTTCAGGTGTCCACACACACACACACACACACACACACGTAAATATATTGTTTAGCTTACTGGTTTATACAGTGAAATCATTCCTTATATTTTCTATGAGATGATTCGTTGTTGAGCAGCATGTTGAGATTCTTTGCCTTGTTGTTCACAGCAGTGATTCTTTAATTGCTAAGTGCCAACAATATCCCGTTATTGTTAAGTGCCAATAATATGTTTAGATATACCAAATCCCAATTTGTGTATCCATTACTCTTTTAAACAAAATTTGTTTTGCATTTAGTTTTTTCACACCTCAAATGATGCTGTGATTATCCTTATACATGTCCCTGGAATACATTTACAGTTCATATGGTACAGCCTTTATAAACTCTGTGTGTGTGTGTGTATGTGTGTGTGTGTGATTGTCAAGCAGAAGGTGAAACAGATTCTAATTTTTCTCAAATAAATTTTTTCTCTAATTAGTTGGGCCAAATTGTCTGAGAAGTAAAATGAATAATTTGTTCCCTTGAGTTCTGGTGAAGAACTCATGCAATGGTTGTCTCTAAGTTAAACTTACACAGTTGAGTAAGAGTATTCATTTGTTTCTACTTTTATTCTTCACGGTACTCAATGAAGTGGTACTCAAACCTCATCTTTTGAGCTGCGTTTCTTACTGAGACATTTTGTCACCGAATATAATTAATAGTTAGAGAGAAGTTTACATTTTACATGAACCTTTACATACTCTGTTATGTTTAAGTTTCACAAATACCTGAGGAAGTGTGTATGCACTCTTATTATACCCTTTTTCTAGATGCATATACTAACACTCTGTGAGGTAAACAGACATGCCCAGATTTCAAACTGTGTTCCCTCTCTGAATATATACACCATTACTATTTTATGAATACCTTTTTCTGGTATATATTGTATTCTATAATAGAGTAGACCAATATCACTCCTTTAAAGACATTGATTAAAATTTAAATGTATTCCACAGTTCCATCTCTCTTATGCAGAGAAAGAATTGTTGGAGAGAGAGCCAAGAGGAGAAGCCCATCAGGAAGTCCTTAGGCGAGCAGCCAGGGATCTTCCCATTTACACCAGGACTATGTCTGGAGGTAAGCTTGATGATAAATGATATGGGATAGCACCCAGGGGAGAGCAGGGTGACTGGGAGAAAGCATGTCTACATAACTGAAACCATCACTTAGTTCTCAGAGTGCTGTGTTATTTGGGTTGCTATTAAATCCTTCCTGTACAGTTTCGTGAGTCAGAATAGAAACATGAATGACACTGGCATAGAGACCTCAGTGAAATCAGAGTGACTAATTCCCTTCTGCCTTCTGAATTGTGACCCACTGAAGATATGAGAATTGTGGACATCTTGATTTGTCATAGCATCAATTTTTAAGGTTATTTGTGTTTATAATTTTCCAAAAAAATTAAATGTGTTTATTTGAGAGTCAGAGACAGGCAGGCAAAGAGCTCCTATTTGCCAGCTCACTCTGTGTGCTACAGTAGGCAGGGCTGGACCATGCTGAAGACAGGGACCTGGAACTTAACCCAGTTCTTCTATGTGGCTAGGAGGGACTTGTGTACTTGAGCCATCACTGCTGCCTTTCAGAATCTTTATTAGCGGAAACTGATTCAGGAGCCAGAGCTGGGTATGGAACTCAGGGACCCTGATGTGGGACATGGGCATGCTGACCAGCATGTTACCTGCTAGGCTAAATGCCCTAAGGTTTAACTGAAGACATTCCTATTTATGTTTAAGGGAGAAATATCTATAATGAGCATAAAATTTAAAATTTTACATGTATTTTTCATCGATTTAATACAGTAGCTGTAAATTTTTAAGATTTAAGTGTTAGTACAATTTCTTTACTCATCTTTAAAATTTATATTAATTTATTTGACCAGTGCAGTTAATTAATCTCTTTCTTGGGTAAAACTTTTTAAAATATTTCCTTTTGTATTTGAAAGGAAGAGAAAATGGGGGATTGAGAGAGAATGAGAGATTTGCTGGTTCCCATCCCAAATGCCTGCAACAGCAGAGCTAGGCCAGGCCAATGCCAGGGGCCTGGAAGTCTATCTGTGTCTTGTCCATGGGTTCAAGGGACAGGGACCTAAGTAGCTGGGCCATCATCTGCTGCCTCCCAGGATGCATTAACAGGCAGCTGGATTGGAAGTAGAGGAGCTAGGATTTGACCTGGCACTCCCATATAAGATGTAGGTGTATCAAGCAGCAGTTTAATCAGTTTAAGATAATTTAACCTCTCTCTCTCTCATTACACAGTTATCTTAAGAATAATCATACTTTGATTATTGATATTTGCCCACCAAATTTATCCCAAAATTTTATGACTTTAGACCTGTACTGCCCATTAAGGTAACTACTAGCTCCATGAAGCCATAGAACTAAATATGAGTAGTCCAGGAATTAGCATTTAGCCTAGTGGTTAAGATGCCTGCATTCCAAGTGAAGTACCTGGGTTTAATTCCAGGATCTGGTTCTGGATTCCAGCTCCTGCCAGTGCAGACACAGGGAGGCACTGGTGATGGCCTCATGCAAGAGAGCTGGATTGTGTTCTAGGCTCCTGGATTTGAACCTGACCCAGACCCAGCTCTGTGGCATTTGAACAATGAAACAACAGATGGGAGTGTCCTTTACTTGTATGCATGTTCACTTGCTTTCTCTCTCTCTCTTCCTGTTGAAAAAACATTTTTTAAATAAAAAACTATATGACAATACCAAATTAAATATGCTTTAAGTGTAAACTACACAACTGGTTTCAATGACTTAGCATGAAAAAGAATGCAAACTCTTATTAGTATTTAATATTATTTATATTTAATTCTAACTCTAGAATCCTAATTGAATCTAAGTCTCACAAACGATTTTTATCTTGTTTGTTGTTGCTCTTCTAGTAATCAGATGGCATCTTGATTTCATATTGTACCACTGGTTCTATCCCAGAAAGAGAAGTACTTATGTATATTTATATTATTTACCCTGTAAGCCTAAACAAATATTGAGGAAATTTAAGCCTGCTAAGAATAAGTTACTGCCTCATTTTCCAAAGCTAGTGACACTACAGAGTACAAAAACCTAGTTTTATTCCTAGACTAGTGCTTATCTACTGTTTCTCAAAACAATTTTAAATTATGTAAGTAATATGAATAAATTCTCAAGAGATCCAAAAATGACAATTAAAATAAAATTCTACCTTGACTGCTGGAAGTTTTTTTTTTTTTTTAATCTTTTATTTAATGAGTACGACTCATGTGTTACAATGGCTTCCCCCCCCATACCGTCCCTCCCACCCACAACCCTCCCCTTTCCCACTCCCTCTCCCCTTCCATTCACATCAAGATTCATTTTCGATTATCTTAATATACAGAAGATCAGCTTAGTATACCTTAAGTAAGTATTTCAACAGTTTGCTCCCACACAGAAACATAAAGTGAAAAATAATAGATGATTTTTTTTTTAATAATGATGAAATCAGATCAGACCTATTGTCATGTTTAATCCCAGTGAGAGTCAAGTTGGGAATTGATAATTTCTTTCTTTCTTTTTTTTTTTTTTTTTTTTTTTACAGAAGATCAGTTTAGTGTACATTAAGTAAAGATTTCAGTCGTTTGCACCCCCATAGAAACACAAAGTGAAATATACTGTTTGAGTACTCGTTATAGCATTAAGCCTCAGTGTACAGCACGTTAAGGACAGAGATCCTACATGAGGAGTAAGTGCACAGTGACTCCTGTTGTTGACTTTACCAATTGACACTCCTGTTTATGGCATCAGTAATCTCCCTATGCACCAGTTATGAGTTTCCAAGGCTATGGAAGCCCCTTGAGTTCTCCGACTCTTATCTTGTTTAGACACGGTCATAGTCAAAGTGGAGGTTCTCTCCTCCCTTCAGAGAAAGGCACCTCCCTCTTTGAAGACCTGTTCTTTCCACTGGGATCTCACTCACAGAGATCTTTTTGCCAGAGTGTCTTGGCTTTCCATGCCTGAAATACTCTCATGGGCTTTTCAGCCAGATCCGAGTGACTGCTGGAAGTTTTAAAATGATATTCAAATCATTCCTTTTAAATTGCAGTGGGATGATTTTAATTGAACATAATATGGCACTTGTGTTTTTTATTTTAAAAAGTTTGTTTATGAAAAACTATGAAAAAAACTGTTTCTAAATTGTTCGGATTTCCATAAAATAGAGATAATCAGCATGCAGAGAGAATCTAGCATTCCCCACAGAAACTCACCTGGGTATTTTTGTGACCAAACTCATGTTGCCCATTAAAGGCAGTCACTAGCCTGTCATAGCTGCTGAGCACTTAAAATGAGGATGTACATGTGAAATATATAATGGGACTCAAAGACCTTGTATGACAAAATAAGGTAAAATGTGGCATTAATATTTTATAATGATTATATATTGAATGCTATTTTGGATACATGAAGCAGTGTAAGATATGTCATTAAACATTATCTTTTCCTGTTTCATTTGACTTCTTTTAATATACCAGAAGAGAATTTAGAAGTACACCCATAGCTCACTTGTTCTGAACAGCACTGCCTTAGACTAACACTTGGCATGGACCATGGTACCTTGGAGCTTCAGATGGAATGTGCCCGGGAGGCTCCTTCATTCAGGAAATAAGCAGCCATTGCTGTTCATATCTGCGATTTCTGCAAGAGGAAGTGGCAACAAATAATTAAAACCTATTTTCATGTTGAAAACAACTCCATACAGGCCTGTTGTTTAAAAAGAACTCATTTTAGTCTCAGTCTATTCCAGCTGTCCCTTTTTCGAGGATTATGAGATTAGCTAATACAGCATTCATAATGATTTGTTGCAAATAATATAAACAATTCTGCAGCACTTTAAATTAATTAGTTGTAAGAATTCACAATGAGGATTCCAAGATGGTAGAGTAGAGAGGGAACTTAAGGCTCCAGTCTAAAAGAAAGTTTAAAAAAAATAAAAGGTAGAGTACAATCTTAGGGAAGAGTTAGGGAGAAAACCGCAGAGGAAACTCTATGCAAATTAGGGACACTGTGGATCTACGTGGAGGTTGTGGATGCACACAACACAGAACCCCAGAAGCTAGCCTTGGAGAATTCTCAGCATTCTCCTCAGCACTAGCTTTGGAGAATGAAGCGAGACCAGACTGCAGCAGCCCAAACCACTGGCAGTAAAGCTGTGAGAAGAGCCTGGCTTGGAGCCCTGTTGGGGACAGTGTGCCAGCCTATAGGAAAAAGCTGGGTCCATGTTTCTCTCTCCCTGATCACCTAGCACTGGTGTCCTGTAACTAACTGAGAGAGGGCAAGCGCCATTTTGGACATATGTAACAGTTGCACCAGCTTGTATCCACACAAGCTGGAACTTGAGTCTGGCTGGGACAACTGACAGGGGGGTGGGTTCTCGTGACTGTGGAACCCTTGTCTGCCAGGACTATGAAAACACTGTGGCTGTGTGGGAGGGCTCAAAGGTGGGTGCGGCTATGTCTTTGGGCAGTCTCTGTGGGTGGCTCCACATGCTCAGTTCTCACTGTTTTCCTGGTGAGGGTCGTTGCTGTGGGATCCCTGCTCACACTGAGGACTGCATGGCTCCTTTGTGTGGTTCTTGTGGCAGTGCAGATGAATATTGTATCCACTGGGGCCAGCGCCCAGGCATTGTTCTCCTTGGAGGAGAGGAGGTAAGCGTGAGGCTACATCAACAGGCCTTTCCTCTGATGAGAGAGAGAGAGAGAGAGAGAGAGAGAGAGAGAGATATTCAACATGCTCAGCTTGGATGTCACCTTGGATATTCCCCTCACCCTGGAACACTGAACAGAGCTCCCAGGCCACACCCAACACGTGCCTCTGGGTATCCACTAAAAGAGTAGACACTTGACTAAGCCACAGAGACCTAGTCCAAAGATAAAAGATATCACAGGGGGAACAGGTCAGCAAAAAGCTCCACAAATGCCTAACAATAAATGCAGCAATTCAAGAAAGATAACATGATGCCCCTAAAGCAACACAGCACTTCAGTACTAGAAAGTGAAGATGAAGAGATTGAAGAAATGCCAGAAATGGAATTTAAAAAATTGATTATAGGATTACTTA